GTAGGGAAATGACACTTAAAACCATTACCCTGAAGTCAAATATGTAAGTCCTGTGTTAAACATAAACTAGGCCTTGGCTCATCTGAAAAGAGTAGTGGATACTTGTTGCTTGAGATTTTGAAATTCTAGGAATTCCGTAAAATATTTCATGAGCTTAAAATCCCCTTTATTCATTTTTAATAGTCATGATAGTAAGACACTTTCAGTGGGGGGAAAAAAACCCCGCCGTGAAAACAAGAACAGAGTTGGTACCCGAGTATGCAAGGATATTAACGGACACTGAACTGGAGGCTCTGACTTTGCAAAACTGCAGTTCCTTTGTTTTACCCGAGTCGGTTGGTTTTAGTTCACGTAGCGTATTGACGTGTTCGAGTGGGACAGGACTTCTGTTTCCAGAAATGGCCTCTTCAGCCTGTTGTTTAGAGAAGATGTACCTGATATGCCCCAAACCGATCCAGTTACAACCTTAACCTGGCAAAAAAACAGCATAAAAAGAGAAGACTTGTCTTGCTAAAGCACGGTGGTTTTTTCCTGCTTCTCCACTACCTGAAGTGTTTGCTCAGTTTCAGAGCACAAAGGCGAATGTATTTTTCAAACGCCAAGCCAATGAAGAGATTGTAACCTTGAATGACTCTTCGCAGTAGTAGTCACATGTGTTTTGATTAACTGCGACGCTAACACAGTGTACAAACAAAGCAATTTTGCAGGTACTTACAATTAACGGACTTTATAACCAGCGTTAGATCTGACTCCCCTGTCGATTCCTTCTGCAGTGAGAGAGAGACACCTTCAGTGTACAAAAACATTTAGTATCTACAGTTTGCAGAGCCCTGCAATAGTGAATGATAGCTATATTATGCTGCAAATTAAAAACAAAGACATGAAGCTGGAAGTATTGTGGTTTCTGAGTGACCTAGACCTTTTGGAGTCATTCATAAAACATGGCTTTGTGATTGATTCGCACAAATCACTTCCTATTACCCAAACACTGCCATTCCCACCCCAGGCAGAGAGCAGATGGAGCTGCTGTCTGAGGGACCGAACCCAAAATCCCTACAGGCGACTCCCTTTTGCCCGTTGTGGGAGTGCCTCCATTGTAAGCAACCTCCAGAAAGCAGATGCTAAATTTACTCGCAGGAAAAGATAAAGATCCTCGGTGACTTTCATTGGAGGGACTTCAGGCTGGGCACTCTCAGGTTTTGAGCTTTTTGTTATAATAATAATAAAAAAAAAAGTACTGAGTGGTTTTCCTAGATCTATACATAAATGTTTTTATAAAACTGTAGGGTTTTTTGGTTAAAGATATGCTGATTGATTTACTGAGCCAAATGAGAAATTTTGATTTAAAAAAAAACTTTATTTTTTAGACGAGAAGCTCTTCAGTTGGCTCAGTTCCTTGTGCCTCTGATCATTTGTCATCTTTAATGTTTACTAAACAGCACTAAGTGTACTTCATTAACTGCTTTTTAACCCTTTGTTTTTCCTCCCTGAAAGAAGCACCGATCTGGGGAGGTGATGGTGGAGAATACCATAGCAGATAGCAAGACCATCGCTCGCTGGGGTGAACCAGAGCCCGTCGGTGTCGGTGCCCTGTCTGCTGCTGAGGGTACTTAGTGAGAAACAGGGTGATCTGGTCCTGTGCCCTCACAGCCATTGGCAATGAGAGGTTTGGGGGCTTTCTAGTTATTGTCCGTTTTCTCAACTCGTGTGTGAATGTGCCTGGTCCTGGCAATTTGATGTGCTTTCAAATCTTTTTTTATTGGTGATTCAGTAGCTGATCTGCACAGAAGGTATCCCTGGTGTAGTAGAATCCCTAAGTTAGTGAATATTTTTTTTTTTTAATGGCTGTTGCATGCTCCGTCATGTTTGGCTAACACGTTTGCAAACCTTTTGGCTGTTAGCTATTAGGCTAACAGTCTGCGCTCTGAGTCTCCGGGCTGTGAGTCCGGTGCAAAGCTCTGCTCTGCTCCGCAGGAGCCCTGTGCAGAGCAGGACCACAGCGCTCTGCGGTTTTTACCCTGACGAAGCCTTGCCTCATAACTCGTCTGCTTGGCGACGAGAGAGGATTTGCAGGTTAGAGCAGGAGTTGGAGGCTTTGTTTCCAGTTGGTCCGAGTCCTGCCGCAGTTATCTAATAATTGAAAATTAGCGAGGCTGTACCAGCACAGACAAGTCAACTGCGTACAGCAGTTACCTGGCATTAATATTTGAGTAAGAAATGGGTGCTTCCAGTGCAAGCAGCAGCTCTTCTCATCTGCTGGGGCTCTCCTAGGTGCTCCAGGCTAAATCCGAGCCAAGCGCAGTGCTGGCCTCGTCGCCGGCTGCGGGAGCCCGTCGTGACACCACGGTGAGCGGGCTTCACTCGTTCACCTCCGCTGCGCACATCCAGATCCTTATGGGGAAAAGGCTGGTTTCCAAACCTGCACCTCTGTCGTGACCACGTCTCCTGGGCTGCTGGTGGTCGTTGGGTCGTGGGAGATGGGGGTGGGAAAGTGACTGCTGGCTGAGCCCGCGCCGAGCCCGGGGGCACGCTGGCACCTCGTGCCACGGGTGAAAGGAAGGCAACGAGATCGCCTGTTGAGGCACGTCGGGATAGGAGGAATTGCTAAGGCTGCACGTTACTTCTGTTCTTTTGCTGAGGGGAATATGTACAACAAAGCAATTGAACCGTCTCTTCAGGAAAACATAGATTGTAAAAGCAGACTTAATTTTGTGCTTCACGTTTGTACCAAAGAGCTGATTTCTGAAACCATTTCCCAGCTCGAACCCATCTCTAGGCATTATAATGTTGTGAATTTGCTTGTCATTACCAATATTTTCTTTGACTGAAGCTATTGAAACAAAGTAGTCTTTTTTTTTTCTTCTTTAACCTTCAATCTTGCTTCTAAAAGAAGTAGCTCTTTTTCTTTCTTTCTTTTTTGGTCAAATATAAAAATGATGATAATTTCAAATATTGCTTTAGAATAATTGCTTTCTCCGTCTTTTGTATGACAACAGAAGCTTGGCCTGATCTTAAATCAGATGCTGGCAGGCAGAGGGCTCTTGACAGCCCTGCAAAATCCTTTAGTTACAAGTCGGCTTTAGCCAATTCTTTATTTGTAAATGACAATTTTCTACAGAAAAATATATGCTTGGGCTTCAATTTTGGAGCCCTAGATTGCAGCCAGGAAAAAATAATTGAATTTTTACACTGTTTTTTTCCTCTCTTTTCTTCCTAACTTAAAAAAAAAATAAAGTAAAGCTCTGTAGAGCATGGTTAGGGGCTGATTGAGGGAAATATCTACCCTGGTTAATTTGAATGGCAGCGGAGACGGGAGTGATGTTTAATTTGTTCTGCACCGAGAGAATTTGGGGCTACTCCAAGCTTTTTGTTCGGTGTCTCAGTTCTGCGAAGGCTTTGCCCGCAGCCGCACAGCACGGCTTGTCGCCGCGGCTCCACTGGTGTAGCAAAGCCCAGCTGGGCCGGCGCCAGTTTGGGGAGCACCGCTGCTCCCGGTGGGTCTGATGTGCGGGATGGGGTCTCGTGGCGTGGGGGCAGAGCCACGGGGGAGGCCCTGGTGTGATGGGGCGGCCGTGCTGCTGCGGGAGCGTGGTGACCCTCAGGGCAGCCCCCAGCACCTTGGTGTACAGAAGGTGCTGGGCTGCACCTTGCAACCTTCAGTAGCTATCATAAAATGCATCTTGTCTTCCGTGAAAAAATCAAAAAGTGAGAAAAATCCAGGCTGTGCACTGAGCAGCTGCAGCAGTTGCGTCTCCGGCCGACTGCCCAGTGTTGTTCCTTTTGCATTGCTTCAGTATTTGCTGGCTGTTGTTTAACCAAGCAAGTCCTGGTTCTGGAGTTACAGGGTGAATTTTCCCTTCAGCTGTTGTAAGTTGGCCGCTTCGTCCAGTTTCTGTCATACAGAAAACAAACTCAAGCGTCTTAATGCATTAATTTCTTATTGACATGCGTGTTGGTTTCTTGAGTTAACATGCAATGGTGACTTTACAACATCTCTGTATGGTGGGGTAGGCTGCTAATTAGTTGTCTCCAGTGGTAAGGGAATTGCCTGCTGTAAGCTGGGACGTTTCCCCTCTGTCCAAGCATACAGGGATGATGCCTGCCCCTTCGGAGCATGCTGGCAACGTTGTCCTGGATCAGCCTTGATTTAAGGTGGCCCACAAGGCTCAAGTGGTTTGGGATCAGCCCACCAAAGACACCTGCCACCGTTGGGCTTTGGGTCCCTGGGCTGGATCTTGCCTGTCTTAAAGGGTTACGGGTTATGGATAACGGGTTATCTGATAGTACGTTCTCCGTAGAGAGTCCAGCGTCATCCTGTCACCTTGGATGGACCAAACCTGGGGGGCATGTGGGTCAGGAAGAAGAGCTGGGTGCTCAGTTGGGGTCTTGGGGAACACGAAGAGGTTTCTGAAGGGCCTGATCCAGCCCCTGATGGAGGGAATACTGTGAGCATTTCAGCCGAGATGTGGTTTGTGGCAGCTAGAGGACTGCATCGGTAGCTCTTGCTGTCTTTTGTCATTTGATTATTTTTAAAGTAACTCTGCAAGTTCCTTTTAAACTGACCCATGGAAACTTAATAACGCATCACTTCGATTCGATGTAATTACCTTTTGTCTGGCAAAGAGCATGCACTCTGTCTTTAGGAAAAAAAGGGGGGAAAATGGCACATCTTTTTGAGACAGTAGCTATGAGGATATGACACTTGGACTCCTCTTTCACTTATATTTGCATTGAGAAGCACAATAAAAATCATTTATTAAAAAAAAATATCCGGGGGCTAGAGTTGTTATTGAGTGCCTTTACTCAGCCATTTCTCAAATAACAACAAAACAAGACAAAGAAAAAAAAAAGTATCTAATCAAATAGAATCTGAATTGCTTTTCTAAAGAAATATTCTCATTAACTGGGTTAGGGATGGCATCTGAAGAGTATTTCTTTTTTCCACATATTGTTTGAAATAATCTGGTTAAACCGTGTGCTTGTCTTGTAATTTCTTACAGATGGTCACAAGAACAAAGAAAATATTTGTAGGTGGATTATCGGCTAATACAGTAGTGGAAGATGTAAAGCAATACTTTGAACAGTTTGGCAAGGTAAGTTCCTGCCCAAGTGAGCACTACATGGTTTGAATTCTTATATTTTTTTTCCCTTCCTTTTTAAAGTGTGTTTTGAAAAACAAAAGTGCAATGAGGCCTATGCTCAAAGGAGGGCCACATTTTTTGCCTTTCAGTGTAATTTCTTGAAGCCTCTGGAATCGCTTCTGGAATTCCTTTTCTGTTTGTTGCATGTGTATTTGTACAACATTGCCAACACTGTTTACCTTCATTAGAGAAAAAAGAATCATTGAGAGGTGAATTTGTGTATGTTCAGGAAGAATTTGACCCTTAGCTGAATGATTACACAGTTATCTTCTCCATAAAATCAGCCTTCTGTTTACCCCTGATTCCAGTGGCAAAAGGAGCAGACAGACACATTTGAGAGAGCTCATTAAATTGTGAAAATGCCTGAAGGAACCACGTGAATAGCATGAGTAATATGGAAGTCACTAGAATATCCATTTAATTTCTTATTAAAAAAATCCTTATGCAAGATCTTGTGGAAATACATGTAGAATCCTGACTTTTTTTTAAAAAAAGCTTACGCAAGGAAGGAAACCTTGCCAGAATACTCTTTATGGCGATGGGACAGCTCAGACCCCGCAATCCAGGCTCTATCTAGCTGGAGCTTCGTGCCACCGACTTCCCTGGAGCTTTCTGGATCTCCAAGGCTTCTGGATGCTTGGTCAGGAATCCAGCGAGGTGTAGAGCTTGCAGAGCCATCCGCTTTGAAAGCAGTTCGTGGTACCACCTTCCACGGAGACTCCTGTCAGCTCCCCTGTCCACGGGGCTCCGTACAGCTCGATTCCTCGTAGTTAGTTTATGTTTCTTTTATCTGCCCTGGAAAGCCTCGGCCAGGCGGTATTTTGTTGAGGGCTGAGGAGGGGAGTTTATAAATTGTTCCTGTGCTGGATTGATAGTTGTTTTGCAAACCATTCATTTTATTTTCAATAATAATCTTCGATTCCGGCAGGATGTTTACAGCCTGCTGAGCCTTTTATTAAAGGATTACATGAGCTTTTGGATGTTTCTTCTGTAGTTACTCCTAATTGCAGAACTCCTCTAACCTGTATTTTTGAAGTTAATAATAGTTTCAATATAAGTGCTTTGCATATTGTCTGGATGCTGTCTTAATATAGTCTTTTTAATTTCACCATCTGGTAGTTTCATGCTTGCAATTTTACAGTCCCTGAGAATGCAGACAACTAGGCTGCGTTTTTCAGTAGCGACTAGTGATTCGGGACGCTTCAGTTCTGCTTTTGTGCTCTGCCTTTCTTGAGATAGCTTAAAAGAGGTCTGGCTTTCCAAAGGCAATACTTTTGGAAAATCAAATTTTTTTTTTTCAAGTGTCTTAATTTGAAGGCTAAGAAATTAAGGCGCTGAAAATAATCGCACAAGTTGCAATCAAGGCTGGAATCCATTACTCTGGCAGTAGAGCTGGGGTATGTCCTGCTGAGGCCGCGTGGTCCAGTCGTTAGAGCTCAGCTCCTGTAGGACTCAGGCTCACTCGGTCCCTGTGCTACCAGGTGACCTTTTCCAGTTGCATCCCTGTTTCACGCTTCCCTATTCTGGCTTGTGAAAAGGAGATGAGTTTGGTGAAGTTGGTGGCGTTTTGGAGGAGAGGCTTCTTGGCTGTGTCACCATGACTCGACCTTGCGTGCAGGCACTCAAGTTCTCTCTACTGCACTTCGCTGTTCATCAGCTGAGACAGTTTGGTTTGTGGGGTGTTTTGAGGTGATGCTCCCCAAGGCTCTGGTTATTAGAAGAAGCAGAGCTAGTTAATGACTCTAGGAAATGAGGACTTGTGGTCCAGCTAAATGAGAAGACTCGTTAATACGCTGCAGTGGGTGGGATGCTGCGTTCAGATATAATGACCCAGGACTGTAGGAGCTGCTCCCTTCTCTGCGTCCATTCCACTTCCCCACCTTTCCTTGACTTGCTTGCTCAGAGTGCAGGTTCTTCGTGGCAGGGACTGGTGATACGTCTGTGCGCTGCTTAGCACACAAGCCTCGCTCTCCAGTCAAGCCATTACAATGCAAACAATGCATCTTGAACGATTGGCAAGGTTTGCATTTGCTTAGCGCTTTCTTAAAATAAAGAAAATTGCACTACATAATTAATGTGTAGAGGAGCCGCCCATAGTTGATAAGAGCATCTCAGGTGACTTGCTCTTTGAAATGGTGAGCGTATTCATTGGTGTGGAAGAAATTGCTTACCTACTGCTGTGATTCCTGAAATCCCATTTGTACTTGCTGCAGAGAAGAGCTTTGCAACCAGGGGAAGTTGTTTTGGTAACTGGAGGTAGCTCTCAAAATACACGATGTGGTTAGAACAGCTACCAGCTTTGGGGCCAGGCGGACTCGCTCGTTTAACTGGAGTTGGCAAGAAAGGGCCTAAAGTGTTGAATTTGAAACTGCAGCTTTTTGAAAAGTAAATGCCAGAACCTTTTTCTCCAATAAGAAGAAAACTGCTTTAATAAACCCTCTTCCCTGACTTCACCAGTGAAAATGCCTGCCTGTTAGAGCACCAAAATACGTGACAATGATAATTCCCGAGACTTTGATCGTGAAATTTCTGATAGTGATTATTTTTTCTTTCTGTAAAGCCCAGGATCTGTAGGAGTCCCAGCTTTCATTTTGTGAAGATGGGCATCCCTAGCTGCTGCTGTAAGCTGCAGAGGAAGACTGGGGAAAATTACCTGAGTGAAGCCAAAAGGCTTAACAGAGCGAGCACGAAGCAGCGTAACTTACAGCCTCGTGATTGCTGAATGCTTAGAGCTGGCGATCCTGAACCTGTGCACAAACAGTTATTGTGAGGGCTTCCCAGCGAGGGCAGGGGGTCTGGGTGCCGAGGAGGGGGCTGGCTGCGGGGCCCGTAGGACCTGGTGGGACACGGCACGGCTCGTGGCGCAGACGGGCAGGGAGCGCGTCCCAGCCCAGCGCCTCCGATAAGGGCGGCGCGGGCCCAAGGCCGGCAGCCGGTGGGAGGCGTATCTGGGCAAGACTTTGGGGTTGAGTCTTCTCCTTCCAGTGGTTTCAGGGAGCAGGATCCACAGGAGGACTTGGGGAGGCTAAGCCAGGAAAACAAAACTCCAAACTAAGCCATAACCGTTTACAATCTGAAGGGAAAAAAAAAAAAATCCATTGTCTTACTACCTAATCCGGATAGTCTAATGCAGTTGTTTCTGTGATCCTCTGTTATTTCAGTCGAAGATGTTTCAAACATTCTTGCAAACAAAATAAATTCACCGGCCATGTTAACCCATCCAGGGTCTGCAGCATTGCCCTTGTGCTGACATGTGAAAAGCTGGCTGTTAAGACCGAGGTTTAAAAGAATTTCAATGAGAAAGCGTTGGAAGTGAAGAGATCCAACGGGAAGCACGGTGGGGCTGCGCTAGCCTCTGGAGAGGCCACAGGTGCCCTGAGCCATCAGCAGGGCTGTGGCTGCGGGTATACCTGTTTTATGGCTTTCTGAAAGGGTAAGCAAAATGGTGCTCTCCAAGATCAGGACGTGTTGGAGCGTTTAAGGCTTCTGGTATCATTTAAAAAAGGAAAAAAAGCAACAGCCTCTTATAAGCCTCACCCGGAGGACTGCGACCTGCAGAAGAAAGCCCCCAAACGCTAATGAATTGCACTTCTCTCAAGACGTGCATGTTCTGCACCTTTTAAGCTGCAAGCAACTGATGATAAGGGACTTCTTAGGGCTCGTTTTTTACTAGGTAATGCTCCCTTTATAGAGCTCCGGTGAAAGTAGTGTAGTCCTTATTTTGCGACTTGCAATTATACTTCACATGGTGAACTGTGTAATTAGTTTGGAAGACTTATGCCTAGTCATTGGTTTATCCTAATCGGCTTTGGCTTTTCCCAACAACAAAGTGAGCTTATTTTCCTAAGCTGAAACAACTCTGCTCCCTTTGTTCCTCTCTTTTATTGTCTCATTCCTTTCATTCTGTTTTACTGCCAAAGTTTTGTTTCATTAGGCCTACAAGTCATTTCCAATCCAGTGGGCTGCTACAATAAGGCCTTTATAACTCAGCTGCCCTGGTTCCCATGTCCCTTCTGGTCTGGAGCCAGGACTTGCTATTTGACATGGGATTTTAACCCTTTCGGTGCCCCAGCTGTGAGTCCCCCCTTTTGCGTTGAGGCCGCCTTGGTGCGGTGCGAGCCAGGCTGGAGATGTGGGCTGGAGGGACTGTCTGATGAGCTTACAAATGCTGAACGGTTGTGTGTGGTCATTAATTGGTACGTTAATGTGGTTGGGCTCCAGGCATGCTTTTTGACCCAATTATCGAAACAGAATTCTGAGTAAAAATCTTACTGAAAATACCGTAATCAGTCTTGGTGGGAACAGTCCTTTGAATGAAAAGGCTGCTGTGTCCTTCCAGGCCCTGTTTCCAGCACCCTGGGAACAGAGTTATGTTAAAGGTACGTTTCAGTTGTCTTGAGCTCTTAGATCAGCCCGTCTATGACTGTTCTTGTGGAAAAATCATGTTTTCTTGTGTGGGAGAGAATACATTTACATTTATACTTTTTTGAAAAAGAATGGTGATTTTTAAAGGAGATGCGTGAAATAGGTTTGTGGGCAAACACTATTTTTATATATTGTTATTTCAAACTGCTAGAAAAGCAGCGCTGGTGTTGGTGGCCCCGGCTGTTTGCTACTTCTAAAAATCTTGAAGCAGGAGCATTGGCTCTACATTTTTTTTTTTTTCTTTCTTCTTTCACAGCAATCTAAAATTACTTTTGGGGAAGGGGGCTATGGCATTTGCTTTTTATTTTAAGTTTTCAGATGAAATTGGAACGGACCAAAATGCATTAATTTTGTTTTCTGTTCTGGCTTGCCACGAGGTCCCTCAGACAAATCGTAGGCATGTTTCAACTTCACTTGGAATATGTTGTTTCCTCAAGAATGGCTTTTAAGATTTGGAAATTTTGCAACAAGACGGGATTTCTGAATTATCTCTCTGGATCTGAAATGTTTTGTACTGTCACTTGTTA